GCTGTTTACAAACTAGTCAGGGGGGACCAGCAGGCATTGGGGGAGTCCCTGTTTCCCTAAGCACTACCAGGAGTGGCAAGAAATAAGAGTCACAAGCTGGCAGAGGGTAGATTCAGACTAGACATCAGGAGGTGCTACTTCACTGTCAGGGCGGCTAGGATCTGGAACCAACTTCCAAGAGAAGTGGTGCTGGCTCCTACCCTGGGAGTCTTTAAGAGGAGGCTAGACGAACACCTTGCTGGGGTCGTTTGACCCCAGTACTCTTTCCTGCCCATGGCAGGGGGTCAGACTTGATGATCTGCTCAGGTCCCTTCCAACTGTACCAACTATGAAACTAAGATACTATCAAGTCCAGCAGAAGATGATAGAGGGGGGTCACAACAAAAGGCAGAAAGAGACCGCACAGACAGGTTGCCACTATATGGCTTCTTTAAGGAGCTCATTAACTGACACTAAGGCTGAAGGGCAATAAAAAGTAGTTTTCAGACTGCCCTCCACTGTTATTGTTCTTTCAAGCAAGGAGTAAAATTGCATCAAGAGGGTAGGCTGGAAAAAAGTAATATAAAAAAATGGCAAATAATGTATATAGTAAAGATCTTACAGGCTAGAAATAAATCTAAAAGCACTCTAGACAAAGGCCACAGACAAAAGATTGAATAGGCAACTGGAGGGGAAGAGTGGTGCTACCAAAGGAAACAGACTTACACCAAGCTGGCTTGATCAGGGGAACCAGTCAATCCTCTGAGCAAGCATAGCTCATTTTTTTATATTAAAAAAGCTTGGCAACTGCTCGTTCAGCCTCCTAGTGACTGTTTTTCTGAGTATGAGACATTAGGCAGTTATTTCCAGGATCTCCTGGACAATCTTTGTGGGACTTTCAAATTGAGACATCTCCAGACAACTGGATTAATGAAGGCTGAGAAACATTTACAGCAGGCCCATTATACCAAATCAAGACTTTTTATATATTTCCCTGTGTCTCAATATGAATTGTTAACTTTATGTAAATATTAATCTTATCCATTGCTTTATTTTCAGAATGGATGGCAGGTTCCATCTCTTCAGTAAGTCCTGTTGAAGCAACTTAAGTGTTCAATAAATGTATTTTTGCAATAAGCATTCAGTGCAGGATCTTGCAATCCAGGTTCTCATTCTTGTACAATTGTTTTGGTCTTTCTACACGTCCTCAGCACAGATAACAAAATGACAAGTTGAGTCCCATATAGTACCGGTAGGAAGGCTGAACCTCTAACAAATCCATCGGCCTATGTGAGCACACCTCTCCCTCACAAAGTTTTTAACTTCTAGGTTTATATCTTTTCCCTTTGACATTTCTTGACTGAAAAATATTCCCTCTGCAGTTTCAAGTCTAGTTCTGTACACATGAAACATGAGCATCAATTTAAAATTCACTCTAATAATTCTCCCAACATTTTCCATTTCTGACCAACAATCTCCCTGTCATGCTAACCTGGTTTATAACCATCAGCTATGGTGACTGTAGTATGATGCTTTCTAGGGAGACATCCCTGTTTCTTCAACTTCTTTCCTAAAAATAAACTCAAACATACGCAGACCCAGCATATTGAAACAAGGAGTATAGATGGTGAGGTGCATCATGGCATATAAACCCAATGCACATTTTTCTCCAAAAGAAAAATGAGTTAAATACAATCTGCAAGGCTCTCAGGTAAGAGCTTCAGTACCAGGAGCAGAGAACAGACAACAGAATTACACATTGCTTGATTGGTGGAACATCAAGACCATTAAAAAGAAGAGAGGGTCAGTTAATACCCATGGAATTAAGAGTTTAGAAGGGATCAGATAAATTACAATGAGCCATGAAGTCATTGACTCCTTCAGCGCTGCCCGACTTGAAATTCTGCTTCCAGCGTGGAACAGGAATCAAGGGGGAAGAAAGGGGGAGGCTTCAAATGTACACTCCCTGGATCCACCCCTAAACTCAAACCTAAATCTTCAGGAGAAAGTTTAGTGCACCACTATCCCCACTGACTTTACTTTCAATCTAATCCCTCACATTTTCTCTTCCACTGCCTTAGTGCCTCCTGAAATTTCTGCTGCCCCAACAGGAATAAGAGCTTGTCCTCATCTTCATATACCTTGTACACATATTTAATCATTTTAGAAACTAATGTTTATGTAATTATTACACCTCCTGGTGTGGATATTTAAATCTGTTTAGCCCATAAGAGCTGACAAAATGGTGCAGGTGAGGAGCTTGCACCAATTTAGCTAAACTAGTTAGATAAATCAAGGAAGGAGGTGCATTTAGACCAACACTAGAAGGAAAGGAAATGGGAACCAAGACTTGTTTCCAGCTGGAGAAAAAAGATCACTTGTAGCAGTTATCATTAAAATGGCATGTCAGGGATGCAGCTGCAATTCTATCCTAGATATTAATGTATCCAGTCACCAAAAGATGATGCTGGTGTATGGCCATAAGAGGGTGAACCCCTCTAGATATAGTTTAGTAAGGTTGGGGGGAGGAGGGGGAAGATTCCTAACTTTGAGATTTGGGGGGAGTGCGAATGCATTGTGTCATGGAACGAAAATAATGATATAAGCACAGCAGCAGCAGCAACCTTCATGTTTAGTGAAAGAGCTAGATAGACCTGTTTCATATTAGTCACCCTCTGGGCACAGCTGAGAAGTAGTGCCACTTAAATGTGTTGCTTAGTGCAAGCTGCTCACTATCAGAAGTAACAGCAAGTTTGCTATCCCAGGTTTGTAGAGTCTCTCTCCTTTTGGGCAATGCTTCCAATCAGAAAAAAATATATTCAGGTCAGAAACAAAGTAACGTAGGCAATGGGCTGGGGAGATGCCCAATATTCCTCCTACTGTCTGCAAGCTGGCTTCTAGATGCTACAGTGAGCAAAATTATCCCAACATCATGTATCCAACCCACCCCCTCCCCACCCTCTCCCAATCACAAAGGTGTTATTGGGAGCTAGAGGATGCGTCAGACATGGATCAAGAGAATGTCCCTCCAGGACTGTGTAAGGTGTCATATTTCAGTAGGAAGTAGAGAATGTGCCTTTGTTTAAGTATGCACTTCAGAGAAAACTTAATCCCAGAGAAGTCAGCAACAAAGAATCCTGCTGTCCTGATGCTAGAGAGAGGGAGAGGAAGAGGGAGAGATAGATGGGTTGCTAATGCTCTTGAAATTTTACCATCAGTTCATCTCCCTTATTATTATTTAAAAGTAATATATTTATGCCTTGATTTCCATCTGTGAAGACTCAGATGATTAGGAAATGGCAAACATCTTTTTAGCTATAGATGAAGAAGGGTAAAAGAGGAGAAATGACATAGTGAATCAGGTCCATCTAACTTGGTATTCTGTTTCACAGTGTCATTGAGCTCAGTGCTCTACCTAAGCCCAGTACAGGTTTAAAGGATACTTTAATTTATTTTGAATTTGGCCTCCACAGAAACACTAAAAAGACATCAAGTCTCTATCCTAGCCTTGTTTTAGCAAATTCAATTTTATGAGCAAGTTTCAGATGTTGACAGTAGTCCCATAAACTCATTCTTCTCAGATCATTTCATTTATGACTGTAGTTATGAATGATACAGGATGCTCCAGTTGGTATACTACACTGACACTAAAGTTAACTAAGTAGGCAGGTCTGCCTTTTAAGAGGCCACTCCAGGATACTGCAATTCTGTCAAGGCTACATACACTCTTATGATGGAAGCAAGCTTAAACAGCCTGGAGTGTTCTTGTAGTCCAAAAACATTCCACACATATCTATAAATTCAATTGGTGATCACAAAAAAGAGGATGAGATGTATGTATAGTGGTTACAGCACGCGTGTCAAATATACAGCCCATGCACTGTATCCAGTCTGCAGAGGTGGTCCAATGCTCAGACCTGACCTGTAAGGCTTCTTGTTGTAGTTCCCAGAGCCACCATGTTGGCATTTAACACATGGGATTAACACCCCCCCCCACCACCTGCCCCAGAATTTTCAGTTTTTGATCACCATTCAGCATGCAGATTGGTAACAGCAGCATTAACCAACATGTGCTGGCCATGCTGACCCAGAAGCTTTAGGAAACCTCTGGGCAGGACACATCCCATCAACTCATTTGAGGGTCCTTCAACATGTGCAGATAAAAGTGCAAGGGGATCTAATGCACAATCCACACAATTGCACCTCCTGCCATGTCACACATGCATGGCAGAAGGCATGATTGTAGGATCACACATCAGATCCCATTGTGCTCCCCTGCACTGGCAGTGAGGCAATCTCAGACTCCCCCTGCACCAACAAGAAGCAAGCTCCTACAACCAGGAGCCCGCTCAGCTGAGGGACTGCGAGCCACAGAAGCACCCCTCAACACCACCTCCACGGCTGGAAGATGCAGCTGCTGCAATCTCCCAGCCTTGGGGGTATGAAGCTGGGACCCAGATTTGCTGCTGCTGAGGCAGGCCCAGCTGGCATGGCATACCCCTGTGGCTGGGACCCTGCTACATGTACAAATTAAAGCTCAATAGCAACCAGCTAGGAAGTTAGTACACATTTTCAAAATCTAACTGGTTGATTGCATGATACCTGTGCCGTATAGAGGGGGGTGAGTTTGACATCCTTAAGTTAGTATAACATACAGAAATAGATTAAATCAAATGTGTTACTTTGTCTCTCTCTCATGATTGTGTGCCTTTCTTGCCTTGGCACACATTATTAATTGTTTTGCATAGAAACACCATCATACTTCTACAAATACCTAACAAGGCAGATTTCTGGTTTTGTGTTTTCCCATTACTTTATTCTTTCCAACTTTTGTGACAGCTGCTTAGAGAGCTGGGCTGAAGCAATCAGCTGAATATTTTACTAAATGCCAGTATAACCAGCAACCTATTTTCCTATTTTCCTCTCTGACACTTTGGCACCTGGTGCAAGGACTATACTGCCCAGTATCTTGGCCAGTATTACTTCATTTTTATCTCATGCAACCGCAGGCGTCTGTGTGCATTTACCTGTTACCTCTCATTATTAAGGGATTTTAAGATCTTTTGGGCTTTTTTCATGTATTTGTACAAAGGGATTATGGTCCTGAATGGGACTCTTAGGGAATACAATTATAAGAATTACATATACAATTAATAAGAAGTTACATAATGAATTATTAGATGACAGTATACTAGAATTAAACATTAAACACACTGCACTACAATTTAGTGGGGTCTAAATAGCTTCAAAGATGTTCAGATTAATAGCTTTGTTAGTCTTTGCAAGGACAGTTCATATGACTCAACTGAATATAAGTTGTAGGAGAGCCGACAGGCCCTACAAGAAAGCAGCCCAGTTGCTGAGCTATTAAATAGAAGAGGTCAATACTAATAATTGGAGTCAAATAGTTAGAAATGTAGAATTATAAAAGTTGAACATTACGTACTATTAAAAGCATGTACTGAGGTTGAGACCAGCTTGTTAAAGCACAATCTAAGCCAGGAGTATCTCTGTTATGAGGCAGGTCTGGTGTGAAAGCTGTTTTCAGTTATGTAGCAACATGTGCTTACATGCAGTACATGGAGCCCATGAAGACCAAAGAAATTAAGAGAAGGAAACAGCAGAAAATAAATAAGCAAGAACTGAAACTTAATTCATCCCTTCTAAACCAGGACACACAGATAAAAATCACCCTTTGTTCACAGCATCTCAGATCCAATTCCCATGTCCACTGAACACCAACTGCAATTACTTTCACAAAGGGATTAAAGACCATACCCAAGCCACTGGTGGTTAATAATGGCTCACTTTATAAAGGACCTGAAGCATCGTTCAATACATCCTTGAGGTAGCAGCAGAAAGAGAAGAAATGAGGGGGGAAAAAAGATAATGTTAGATATTCTTACCAGAGACAATACACTGTCCCAATACAATATGTCAACAGCTCTTTCTTAAAAAAGGGTTTTTCCTTTTTATTACTGCAGGAGTGGGTATTTGTGTGCATGTGTAAGTGCAGAGCTGGGGTTACCACTTATAGCATCTCAGTGATATCACAGTGCACTAACTGCTCAGCTCCTTCACAAACCCCTAAGTCCACATCTTGTTGGAATAACAAGATTTTCTAAAGACTTATTTAAATCAATCAGCTCTTTCACCATAAATAGCTGATGATAACTGTGGTTGTAAACTTGCAAGTACTTTGCCAAGTACTTTATATCATCAGCAACAGGAAGAGAGTTTATCTGAGAACATGAAAAGAGAAATGCAAGTTCAGTTCCTGGAAAGGACATAGTGACTAAGCTGTATTTTTAAGACCATTTTTGAGTGAAGCAGAGTAGGGATATTTTTTATTACAAAAAATTAAAAATGAAAACTAGAAATACATCCCCAATTATCAGTGGTATTTCTATATATTTAAGAATGTTAGATATCCTTTAAGTACTCCTTCAAGCTGCCTTCCATGGAAGGGGAAATGGAAAAGAAACTGAGCAATAGAACTGAAAACTATATACTATCAATCTAAGATCTGGTGCATAAAAACAGGCCACTATCAGAGATAAAAATGTCATTGATCCGTAAGCAATTGCCTGACCAGTGCCATCTACAGAAGGGTCAGATCTAAATGAACACGTTTTTCACGCTGACTGGTATTTACATTTCTACGTGGTATTTTAGCATGGGATGCAATTCAACATCCTAAAAATAAAAGCTCAAAAGCTATTAAAATCTAGCAGGCCAAACACCACCCCCCACTCCCAAACCACATGTAAAATAAGTAGTAGATACAGGGTTACTACTAGGAAAGTGTCACTTGGAAGGGTGAGAGGGCAGAGGGCAGGGAAAGAGTAAGAAATATGTGCTTTTTTTTTGGTTTGAAGTTTTCTTTAAAAATATTCTAAGTAGAGGGGAAAACCAAAAGCTCTGCCAATTAAAAAAAAATAAAATTAGGAATTTGCTGGCATAATTCAAGAAACCATGTCTGATCTAAACTCAGAAGCTAATTGGCACTTAATAGAATCATAGAAAAACAAATCTAGAAGGACCACGTGAGGTCACTTAGTAGAACCTCCACGGATGTGAACAGACCTTTATAATGTAAGTGCTACCTCTCCACAGTTCTACAGCTGTAAAGGCCAGCAAAACCACTGCATCTTTAATCTCTTTTAATTCAGGGTTAAAATTACAGCAATTTAGCTCACTTATAGGAGCATGGAAAGGTAACAGTTACATAGTTCTTACTGTTGCTCATTCCTAAACAAGAACTCCCTCCACTTAAAACACTGCAAAATTAAATCCATCCAGAGCCCAGAAAAGTTTTTGAGTTAGAATTTCAAATCACTGACTGCAAAAGACATGTAAAATTTTATAAAATTCTTTCTGAATTAGCAAAACAGAATAACATGTAATGAATAAATGTATTTTTCAATACCAAAGAGACATTTCTTAAAACAACACTAGTTCTCCAAAAGGCTCAGAATTCCTAAGACATATCTAAGCATATTATCTACTCTAAAAACACATGATTATATGGCTGATGCAATAAAATGGCTGGACACTGTAAATAAAATCTGCCATAACCCTTTCAGAAACTTGATGAAATGAGGATCTGCAACATTTATCTCCTATTCTAAAGCATCTTTCTTGCCACCAATTTGTCATTGCCCATTAAAAATACCACATCTGCCTTGCAGCCTCTAAAGCAGTGGTTCTCAGCTGGGGTCCCATGTACCTCTTTCAGCAGTGCCACAACATGGGTACTGCCTCAACTAGGTGGAAATGTACTGTGCACCTCCTGTTGAGGCAGACCAGAAAGCAGCTACAGCTGGAGCCTGCACTCTGATGGACTTTACTGGTTCAACCCTACACGGTCCTCTTGGAAACAGAGGTGTGCCAAGCAGGGGGTACTGTCTCATGCCCCATGTTTCCAGAAGGAGCATATGCAGGGTCTGATCAAAAAAGGTTGTGACAAGCATGCACACTCCAGCCACAGGCTCTGTCTGTCCAGGGAACCATGCTGGGCTGGAATAACCCCTTGAATTGCCTAGCTAGAAGGAGCTGGGTATGGGAACACCTGGGACTGATAAGACTACTCTTTCCACCCCCTCCTTCCCAGCCCTACCAACACAGGAGTTTTGCCCACAGCACAAAGCTAATTAAGTACACCTCTTCTCCTACTTCTGACTTAGGTTTATCAGAAAACCCTAATATAGGCAGGAACACTCAGCAGGACCCTGGCTGAGAACCACTGAGGTAAGCAGAGGCAGCACAAACATGGTTCTCAACCAGGGATGCTGCCACAATCAAAAAAGGTGTAGAGGAATGCTCTGACTCTAAACAGGTTGAGAACCATTGCTCTAAAGAGAGAATGAAGGTCAGAATCAGCACTAGCTTGGCATCCTGTGGAAATTTAAAGGGACGGACTAATGTCAAAAGTGTTTTTTTTGTTTTTTTTTTAAAGCAGTCTACGTGGAGTAGGAGGCATGGTATATGTTGAGTTTTTAATAACAGCTCATCCCAATCAGTAAAGGGTTGGAATCTGTACTAGGTCTTATTTTTCCACAGACATAAAATTACCACCTTGAAAGCTTCAAGCTGGTTATTTTTGCCTTTACAACTTTTTAATTACAGTACATGGATTTAAGGAGCTGGTACTATAATAAAATATAGTCATCATCTGAGCTGTATGGAGTACCATCCCATACATTTAGGTACCTATGCTTGTGAATTTTCCAGGGATAGAGCTCAGGTTCTTTATCTTTAAAAAAAATTATTCAGTTCATAGTCAACTTCCCACTGACTAGTACTCAATGCCTTTGATACCAGTAGGTAGCTAGCTACCTGCAACAGTTGCTCAAAGCAAAGTGTGGTTTGAAGGGCATATTCTCCTTTTGACTGAAATTAGACATGATTATTCTAAATAAAATGTTTCAGCTTTGAGGCCAAAACAGTTAGTCCTGGACTGTATGACCTTCATTTTCAGATGTGTCTCTGTTCCCTCTCCACTCCACTCCCTCCCCTCAAGTAAGGTAACAGAGGGAGCCTTTAAAAACTTTAGTTAGCCTTAAGAACTCTCTAGCACCCAGTCCTGTGCTTTGACCACTAGATCCTACTTCCAGACTTTGAACAGAAGTGCCACAATAAAAGGGGTATAGGTTGTAGCCGTGTTGGTCTAAAGACATAAGCAAAAAAACCTTGTCTGCCTATGATAAATAGAAGGGTAAGATTTCCAGAAATGCTTTCATGCCTAGTATGAAATTTACCTTATTCATCTGCTTAGCTGCTGACATGACAGTGAATGTACAGTCATCCCGACCCTTCCTCCTTTTCCCAAAGCCAAGATTGACTAAGTTTGGACAGAGAGCAATTCCTGTCAGAAGCCCAAGTCAGAAAAACATACCATGTAAAGGAGAAGCACTGCATACTAACCTGATATCCCTGGAAAAAACTCAGAATTTCCTTCATTCCTGTGTTATAAGGCAAGCCCTGCATACGGACCAGAGCTCCAGGCTGGGGCAGTATTGGAGTGTGTGGGGCTGTGGCAGCAGCTGCTACAGCTGCTGGTGGGGCTGTGATATAGCCCACTGTGGTGGGAGATACAGGAGGGCTGTAAAGAAAAAAAAAAAGACAGGAGAAAATGGTTAACATAGGCCAATGAGTGACTTGAGAGCTTGGAAGAAGAGAGTGGTTTTAGTAGCCATTTTATCTTAGTTTTGATAGTAGCTTGTGTGGGGTGCTTCTAAATATTGCCCATTCCTATTCCTACCTCAAAACTTACTGAGATCTGTGGTAAGGGAAAATGAATCAATAAATCCCAAACCAGAAGGTGATGGCTCTTCCTAGTGCACAAAACAGGTTATTAAATGATGATGATCCAAGCCAAACAGGCAAAATATTCACCCACATTATCTTAGGGCTGAGAGTGAGGCATGGAAGAAAATGAATAGCTCCAGGGTTATATAACCAAGCTATGAAAGTAAATTCTTGCCTAGTTAGGTTTTATTCTTGATGGTGTATATTCCATCATCAAGAGGGGGAAAGGGTCACAGGGATATGGTCATATTTAAAAACTCTGCAGACACCTGGATCCCATCCTAGTGACTGAAATGTTAGGATCCAGTTTAATTTACAAGGAGCAAATTAAATAAGGTATTGCTGTAGGCTTATCGTAAGGGCTGGGGAAGACAAAGTAAAAAAAACTCCTTTCTTCTTTCATCTCTTGACTAGAGCACCATGTGTTAGGACAGTAGATAAAGACTGAATAGGTAAAGTGTTTACCAGTGTTGTTTGTGTGTGACTACACCCTCTAAAGTATTGCTCACCTTTTCCCTCAGTGCCCTTTGCTAGCAACACTTCTCTAGTGCTGTGATAAAGTGATGCTCAAAACTACTTGAGGTTTGATTACAGCCAGCAAAGGTTAAGCTGCATTATGAGACCAGGAGAGAACACTTACAAGGTCATTGCCAATAATGGCAGTGGGTTGTTCAGAGTAACAAAATAGAGTTACATGGAAGTGGGTTAATAGCTGCCTCCAAAAAAAAGAAACCGAGTCTGCTCCACTTATATCAAAGAGCTTAAATGGCAGTCCAGGACAACAGTACCTGGGATAGTAAGCTGTGTAATTCATGTAAAGCTGAGCAGCCTGAGCTGGGTAATAGGTAACAGCTTGAGGGGCAGCAGCAGAGGCCTGGGGAGTCCTGGTTGTCGGTAACAAGGCTTGTGGCTGGTAAAGTGCTGCTTCTGCTGGGATCACCGCTGCTGCTGTTTGGAAAGCAGCATAAGCAGGAGGAGAAAGACCTAAAAGCAAGTCAGAAGGCAGGTCAATCAGAGCACAGAACTACTTGTGTGGGAATAGAACTCTCTCTCCTAATGCGACTATTATCCATTCTGAGAGCACCTGACCATGGTTAAGTAATGCTCACACAACGACTGATCTCAAGTCTGTTGTACTAAAGGCACCCAGTGCACCCAAATGGCTGTTTCTGGGTTTGTTAAACTTAAATACTTACCAGTGCAGAAATGAGGACTCTGAACCATATTAAAAATGCAGGAACTGCAGAATTATTCAAAGGAAGCATGAAGCAGGGGGATTGAGTGTGCATCTAGGCACATCTTTTGTTCCTTCTAGTAGAAGCTGCACTCTCTGGGGTATGTTCAAAGATAATGGCTGCACAGTTTTTCCTACATTTGTTTGCCAAGAGTCCATATACCTACTACAGCTTGACAAGCTAGCAAAATATTGTACATACAAAAGACTAATCATAGGCATTTTCATACACAGTTGCCCAATTTGTACATGAGTAGGTACAGCAAGCTTTTTTGAAAGCCCAGCTGTCTATATTGTTTTGAAAATGTATATATACCAGCACGCACTTTGTAATCACACTAGTTAGAATGGAACACACCTACCCACAACATTAAATTAATACCCCAAACATTAAACTAATATTGTAATGTTTATATATTCTTAAGAGACCTTAAAGTTATTCTTTGCTGAAAGTGTTCAGTATACAATATTCACCGATGATAGCCAATATAAGCCATCCAGTACCACTATGCACTGGTCCATTAGAAATGCATCCTGATGGAAGTTCCCTTCAAAAACAAGTTATCCCCAAAAAGCAGCACCTTCTCAATGCTCAGAGGCAGGAGAGCAAGAGCATTCATTGACAGCTAGAGTGTAGCATGTTCCCCATTAAAAACATTCAATTCCAAATAGGTGTCACTACAGGCAAGTCTACTGCAGAGCTCAGAAGAACAGTACACCCAATAAAAGCAAAGTGCACCACAAATACACTGGCGAGGCATTGCTGCCATCTATTTCCCCACCGAAAACATAATAAAAATGCCTCAATCAGTCCCATTATTTCCCCAAGGGAACAACTTCCAAATCTCAGCCTGTACACAGATGGATGATTACTGATCATGGCATACCCCAAGTTAAAAAGTGAAAGGCCACAGAGCTTCAGCACCTACCACGTCAGCTGTTAGCAGCAGAGAGCGTGAAGAATTGGAGACTTACATGGTAACTTACATGGCGGTGGGGATAAGCCACTACGATTTAAAGTGCCACCCATTAAAACAAAGTTCATCTCTTCTCCTGAACACTGGAACACTTCCACATAGCGGTCCTTCATCATTTTTTTGTGACATTTCTGGGCCACCAAAAAGGCTTTGTCAGCAGATTTCATTTGGATAAATGCATCACCTGATGGTCGTCCCTGAAAAGTTGCAAACAGCCGTGGTCAGTCAGTCGGTCGCACAAATTTCCAGAGCATAAAAAATGCAAATAGTTCTAGCCAGTGCTACGATCAAGTGTTTACTAAAATCTTACAGGATTTTTCCCCTCTGTTGCTAACAGATAATGACTCAGCCTCAGATCATTTCAAAAGCTGGGTATGCAATCCTACGTCATTGCACTCGGCTTTCTTCAGCAACAACTTACTACCAATCTGTTTGGGTGCACAAGTGTTCAGGTCAAGCCTTACTTCAATAAAGTCTCCAGGCACTTTGGAAATTCATTCCCATGTTCCTGGTGTTTTAAAGCACAAGAGAGTTTGGTTCTATTTGAAGCAGATAAAAAAAAACACCACACACAAAAAGAACCCGAGTCAAAAAGGCTTTTTGACAGACTGTTCATTTAGACAAAAGAACCTGTCAAGTAAAGAAAAAGTGGGGGAAAAAAACCCTCAACTTGTTCAAACAAGTTTCCCCACCTTTCTGACAGGGTCTAAAGAAGAATTAAAAAGAAGGTGGCAGCAAGAAAACAAACCACTTGAAAACCACATTTTTTATTTTCTAATTTAGTTTCTATTTAATTTTCACTTTGAATGTTTTGATTAAAAAAAGCACTGGTAGCCAACACAAGCTCTGACGTGATAATCGTAGGTATTATCCCCTTTTTATAGAACATTTTATCCTCCAAGCCAGCAGTTCTCAGACTCTGGCAGATTGCACACCTCCAATTTACAATGATACAACCTTAAGTACTACCAGCAAATTTTTGTCATATAAAGTTAATTATAATAAATCTGTTAATGCGTACCATTAGTGATACCTGTATCACAGATTGGGAACTGCTGCTCCAAGCAAAAGAACTGGTGTTACCTGTTGATTAAGGACCATGTGGACTCCATGTGGCTTGATATCTCCTGTAGCATCTCCCATGAATTCCAAGATATCATCAATGCCAGCAGTGTAGGGAAGGCCTCGGAGTCGGACACAGTCACGTATGCTACCTGTGGCAATGGTGTAAGGTGGGGGTATGACAGGAATTATGGGAGTTGGCAAAGTGGGTATAAGAGGAGTTGACATGTATCTATTAAGAACCTGTTGGCCAGAAAAAAAAGAAAAAACATAAGTGGGTGGATAGGAATATAAATGCTGATAGGATGCACAATACCACTTCATATATTTAAGTGTAACCAGCTTTATTAAACTGGGAAAAAGGAAAATTTTGCACAAAATAATCCTGTCTTTTTTTGTTGTTGCTGTTTGACATCTACCAGTTTCAAATAGAGTAGGTTAAAAAAAAAAAAAAAAAAACCCTTTAAAAAA